GAAAGACACCCCAAGCCTTATCTTGGTTATTCTTTGTGGTGGAACATTCCTCATTCCACCATGGCTTACATTTCTTGGGGATGTTCGAAGAAGTTTGAGGGATGGAGCAAAGAGCAGCACCAATTATATGCTCTGTGATGTAGGCTGTGGCATCGTCATGAGTTAATGAAGAGAACATTGAGGGAACAAGCTTGGATTTTTGGCTAAAAAGCGCCCAGTCTGCTTTTTCTAGCTTCCAACGTGGAGTCCGTTTCATAAGACTGGGAATAGATTTCACGCTCTTCAGAGCAACCGGAAAGTGGTCGCTTCCAAAAGGATTATTTAAAATGCTCCATGTGAAACAAGACACCAAGGATGGAGATGAAATGGAAAGATCAATGGATGTAAATGAGTTGTGAGCTGCGCTAAAAAAGGTAGGCTCTCTGCTGTTCAAAAGACAGAGATTAGATGACAGTAAAAACCGTTCAATGATCCCACCACGCGAGTCCTGGCGTGTGCCACCCCACAAAGGATGGTGGGCATTAAAATCTCCTAAAAGTAAAAAGGGGTGAGGGAGCTGAGTAATTAAATCATGAAGATCATGAATATGCAGTGGAACATTTGGTGGAATATAGATGGAAACAATGGTGATGAAGCGGTCCAAGAGGAGACGCACAGCTACAGCCTCTAGGGGTGTAGAAAGAGGAATCTGAGAACAAGCAACTCCACTTTGGACGATTACTGCTACTCCACCAGATGAGTTTGATGTGGAACGATCTTTTCTAAAAACTTGGTGACGACGTAAAATAGACACATGATGATCATTAAGGTGTGTCTCTTGTAAAGAGAGAGCTATAGGACGGAGGTTGTCCATAAAAAAGTTAACATCGTCAATATTCCTTAAAAGGCCGCGGCAATTCCACTGCATACAAGTAAATTTAGCCATTATTCTAAAACTAAGTTAAAAATTAGTAAATCAGTAAAAGTAGTAAGGTACAAGTAAAAGTAAAAACGTCAACCCTGCCGCGCAGGGCAATAAAGAATGTACAACATCACGTTGGTGGGATCACCGGTTTTTTGCTCTTGTGCTTACTCTTAGTAGTCTGCCACTCCATGTCGTCTTGCTCAGACGCAGGAGTGGAGACTTCACACTTATCCATGGCCTCAGTTTCCTGAGGCAAGGCTTTTTCTGCAGGTTTCTTCGGGTTCGGGGAACGGGGCGCCATGCGCCGCCCGCGACCAGACCCAGCCAAAGGGGCAGAGGAGGTGCTGGGCGAAGCGTCGCCCAAGTCCACCCGTTCCTGTCCCTTAGGCGCTGCAGGTGCGGCACGAGAGCCATGCCGCTCCCTCGATGATGCTCTCTCCAGGGAGTGTGGGCGAGAGTGTCGACCCTTCTCCCTGGAAGGAGATCGCAGAGGAGAGACGGTTGCGGCAGCCACCGACCCATCCTGGGTCGGTGGCTGCCTGAGAAGATACATGCTGTTGCCGGAGTGCGAGGGTTCGCACTCTGGCTGGGAGGGTCCGTAGACCGTCTAGCCGAGATTGCATGCCCCGGAAGCTGAATCTTCAGCTGGGGCGTGGGGGACTGCCGTGGCTTCCCATAGTCTAGAAAGGACGTCTGGGTTGCCACTGCAACCTTCAGTGGTGCAGGTCCCCGCTGCACCACCTGCGCATAGCCACCCTTGCGCAAGAACGCAAAGCGACGGCGCGCTTCCGGGTAAGAGAGGTTTTCTTTGACTTTCAAGTGAAGCACTTCTTTCTCTTCTTTCCATGTCTTGCATGAGCGCGAATACGCTGGGTGTGGATCATTACAGTTGACACAATGGGCTTCGTTGGAGCAGGAGTCAGCAGAATGGTCATTTTTCCCACACTTGGCACAAGTGGCCTTACCACGGCAGCTCTGAGAGCCGTGGCCAAACCTCTGGCATTTAAAACATCTTCGAGGATTAGGCACATAGGGCCTAACCCTGCAGTGGAGATAGCCAGCCCTAACAGCCTCGGGAAGTGTGGTAAATTCAAAGGTTAACACTATGTGTTTAGTTTTCCGCTCTTGACCGTCCCGACGCAGGGAGATGCGCCTCGCAGCTACAACTCCTTGGTCAGAGAGCCCTTCAAGTATCTCAGTGTCAGAGGCCTCAATCAGGTCATCTTCGGAGATAACGCCCTGAATAGTATTAAGTGTACGATGGGGTGAAACAGTCACTTTGTGATCAGACACAGAATTCAAAGCAAGGAGTGCAGTACTCTGCTGTCTGGATTCAAGTTCTACGAGAAGGTCACCTAAGGGCATCTTTTTGGCTTTGAAGTTCTTTCCGACCACACTTTCTAGCACTTTAGCAACTAGAAAGGGGGACATCTTGGAGAGTGGTGTATCGTCTTCAGAGTGAATAACTAAAAATTTGGGGAATGTAGGGGGAGATGAGGTCGTGTCTTTCAGAGGGACTTCGGTGCGGACCCTTTTCAGGGCCCGATCAGAGGGAGGTTTTGCTTTGGAACCCATGAGAGATGGGAGGAGATTCAGTGCCCGGGTGCACTGCCCACCACGGAGCCCAACAAGGGGGTGGGTAATGTGCCATAGCAAGAAAGGCTTGGCTAACACAATTACTCTACCAGTGCTGCCCGGGCACTATAACCGAGTGTGGATGCAGGGACAGGACCTGTTTCCACTCAAGGTTAGCCCTTGCCGCCTAAGAAGGTGAAAAAAGGAAGGAAGAGAGTGTAGAAGAAAAGAGAAAGAGGTGGAAGGAAAAGTAAAAGAAGGAAGAAGAGGGTAGAAGAGGCGACTGACTGAATCATCCTGGTCGGGCCAAGCCAGGACACCCGTCTACGAGAAGCAGGGGTCGAAGCGGTGTATTGCCTTGCCCGGGGGGCCCCGAAGGGTCCAAACATACCCCGGGCTCAGCTCAACCACCAGGGTCCCCTTTTCCCCGGACACGGGTACGCCACGCACAGCCAGACGTGGGTGGGCGAACCCACATGGCTCGGGGTTCGTAGTGACGCCACTCACCAAGCACCTACCAAAGTAGGTGCCCCCTGCGTGCGGGTATGGTGGCCCACGTGGCTGGGGTCCGTGGTGACGCTACTCACCAAGCACCTAGCACCTAAGGTGCAGGCGCCCCCTGCGGGGCTCGGGGTCCGTGGAGACGCCACTCTCCAAACACCTGCTTTCACAGGTGCCCCCTGCGGGGGGGGGGGGGGGGGGGGGGGGGGCTGGGTTAACGAGCTCCCCAATGATACACGCGCAGTTCGAAAAAGGGTGGCCCGAGCGGCATGAGCTCTCAGCGTAGAGCATATAGCAATTTCCGCCCAAAGTGCACTACGTAGTGCATATAGCATCGCTCATTAGGAATACGCCCGTGTTTTTCTTGTGGCCCTCCAAACCAAGGCGTACAATCCCTCTTCGTATTTCGTGCGCCGGAACATGCATTTTAGCGCGAAACACATGTACGACGAAACCGTCCGACCCGACATCCAACCACGCAATACGACGGTCGAAGGCGAGGGTTTTCGACGCTCTCCAATAATACGAAAACAGTATCCCCCCAAGGTCATTACGGCAGTCCGCACGTCGGATCGGAAGGTTTGGTCATACATGCGTTTCGTGCTTTTTTTACGGGTTCCGGCATACGAATCCGGAATACGTGTCGGTTTGGAGTGCGCTTCCTTTGAAGCTTACTTTTGAGCGTGCGCACACCGCGGTCACGGTATCACTCGGACGGGCTCTTAAAAGCGTATTTCAAAGGCTCGGGTAGTGCGGCACGCGGAACACAGTGACGGTTTGCCAAAAGTCCTTAATATTAGGAACTTTTAGCAAACTGTTACCGTGTTCCGCATACCGCACTACCGGAGCTTTTGAAGCCTACTTCTAAACACGCGCCCGAAGGCTTTTGGGAAACCGTCACCGTGTTTTGCGTGCAGCACTACCGGAGCCTTTAAACTATGCTTTTGAGCGCGCGCCCGAGTGATACCGTGACCGCGGGCCGCGCGCTTAAAAGCATGCTTCAAAGGCTCCGGCAGTGCGGTGCGCGGAACACTGAAACGATTTGCTAAAAGACCCCAAACTTATCATTCGCGTTTCCCATCGCCGGCCTTGCGCCTGCTGCTCGAGTGGTAACTTTAGAGCACACTGGCGCTTCCCGTTAAAATTGGCTAGTTTAGGGGTATTTGAATGTTTATTTTCACTCATTCAAATTTACTTATTAGATCTTTGGTAAATAATCCGCTAACTATCATATCTTTTGCAGTCCCCGAGGGCTGCCGTGGCGGCCAGGCTGTTTAAAATACGGTCAATATTTTTTTATGATGCCCTTTTAAGGGATGTTTGAGAGTCTACGCAGAAATACCCCGTACAAATCACAAATATTTTACAATGTGCCCTTCAGTTGACTCCCCTTCGTGCCCGCAAAAGTAAAAGTGTGAAAAGGCCTTAACTCTTACATTTTATGCATTTTCAAGTCCTTGGGGAAGGCCGAAGGCCCAATCAAGTTTTGTATTACATGAAATATTTGATTTAAACTATAGAAACACGTGCATGTGATCAAAATCATGATTGAAATCACGATTGAAATAATTTTGGTTTTTCTCCCACCCTGCTTGAAACCTACTCGCCCACATTAACTTACATGAAATATTTGATTTTGATTAAATTTTGATTTGATTAAATTACATGAAATATTTGATTTAAACTATAGAAACACGTGCATGTGATCAAAATCATGATTGAAATCACGATTGAAATAATTTTGGTTTTTCTCCCACCCTGCTTGAAACCTACTCGCCCACATTACTAAGACCATGCACAATAATACAGGGTATCTATTTTTTTATTCTACTTATTCTTCAGAGCGAACAGTGTTATTTAAAGCTCGATAGTTGTTGACCATACCTGACAATATTTCTTCACAATCGTCCGCTATGTTCTCTTGCATTCTGGGGATACGGAATAGGCGAAAAATACTACGGGTTGCTTATGACGGTTAACTTCGTAGTCAATATAAGTCATTCTTGTTTAATCGTTACAGGTTGTAGGGTATGCGTACACGACCTACTTTGTCTATGAAGGGACATTTAATTATGATGTTTTGATTAAAGAGCCTGTTGTTTGCCTGATAATGCGAATAGCTGATCTCACCGGTGCGTTTGGAATTGCGTATAGGAAATACCGGAAGCAAGTGAAGGAAACACAGTATGTTTTTATTATATTGTTTTACCTCATACAGCCTCTATTACTTTACGTATTGAATATACCTCAGCTGTAAACGTTTACTAGGCTTCACAAATTCAAATTGAAGTGTGCATTATGTCGTCGTTCACGAAGCAGGCATTGTTTTGTTGCTAAATCAGTATTTGTGATGTTTTACAACACAAACAAACACGGCGAGGAAGACCAGACTAGCTGTAGTCTTGACAAGAAATACCGCCTCGTTTATGTTTAAAGAAAAATGCATCAGTATATTTAGCACTTCAGTGTTCTGCCGAAAATTTCAAATCCAAATATTAGGGTATTATTCAGGATCTGCACTGGCGACAGTAAGCACATGTCGATAGTCTCATATTTCAAATGTAATCAGCAAAACACTTAAAATTTTAAACGATCAATTTATCATTTAATTAAAATATGCATGATTAAAAAAGCATACGCGACAACAGATATGGAAGACGCGAGTTTGATTTGACAAAGCTTAAAGGCTCACTGAAGTTGATTCTGAGATCGTCCTTCTGTGGTGACAACTCAATCTATAGATGCTCTAAGCATCCCAACAAACCCGAAATCACAATCGTTCGTAGCTTATTTCCTCGTTAAAAGCGTGTTCAAAGATCGCGACACGCCCTCTTTGGGAAGAAGTTTCTTCCGAGTGAAGTGGTCGACGAAGGGTGCTTGTCGGCGAGTTGCATGCAATGGCTTCGCCTGCGGAGAAAAAGGTGATTCTCATCCGAATGTGTACCGATCAGAGTCTCTACGAAACAAGTTATAATAAAATCATTCAAAATCTGCGCGTACACACGTCTGCAAATGCGGTTTCCGGGCGCCGCAATGTTGCCCAGTGGGGTGCGCTTGGGCGCGGCCATAATCCGATTATGACGCCTTAGCAAGGCTTTGTAATCGGATTAGGACGCGTCCAAGCGCACCCCAGCGAGCAAGATGGCAGCGCCCTGAAGCCGGACCATCAAACGTGTATTGTAGGAACTTCATTGGCCCACACAACGTAGTCCGCGAGAAAGAAAGAGTGCAGATGTATTTCTAGTGCCCTGAGATATATAAGCGGTTTTGTATTAAAGGACTTGGTATATGTGGCAGATCAAAGACGGCCTTTTCCAAAAATGACTTCAGTGCCCCTTTAAGAAATGTCTTATGTTACAAAAAGCAAAAATGCATTGCTATTTTACAATCTGCTTCATGTGCTTCCAAAGAGATATAAGCAAATTTTGTGCATTACTGCTCCTCTTTTTAAATATTTTTGTTAAGAAGGTGCAGTTTTAGCTGCATAGCAGTGTTGCGGAGTTGCCACTCAGGAGTTGGAATGATTCCGGAATCATTCCGCATTTTCACGACCCCGGAATGGAATGGGAATGGAATGGCGGCAACGTTGAGGGGAATGGAATGGGAATGGAATTAGGTGCATTTTGCCCGGAATGGAATGGGAATAAAATGAGGCACGGTTCTTTTCTTTTTTTTTTTTTTTAGTGTTTACGGTCAGTTAAACCGAGCCAGTCAGTGAGTCAGTTGCTCAGAAATAAAATGAGCGGGAAACTGCTAGCCCGCGTGGAGCCCTAACAGACATATCCGCCAAAAAAATGCAATACAAAAAACAAGCGTCAAAGCAAAGAGCAAAGGGGGAAAGGGGGGGGGGGGGGGGGGGTAACGTGGCGCCTTTCACGGACGCGCAGGCGTCGGGCTTCGATGGCGTTACACGAGAGCGAAAGAAGAAACCAAGCACCAAGCAAGAGAAAAGGGAGCGGCAAAGAAAGAAACCGCCATGCACAACTCCTCATCGTCCTTCTTGTCATGCTTTTTTTGTTGTTGCGACTCATAACTCGCAGAGCTCTGATAACTCGTTGACTCGGGCGCCGTCGAAAGATGATCGGTATTGTTTTCTTATAGTTCGAGGCGCGTTGTTTGGCAGGCAGCCAACCCTGCTGCCTTCCACGTGCATTCGTGCGCACTCCTTTGAAGTGCGAAATGTGGGTTTGCTTCGGTATTAAAACCAAAGCGAGATTCACTTCCCTCTTCTCCACTTGCGCTTATTAAGTCCACCTATTACTTGGTCTTTGTTCCGATGCTTGTTTTCTGTGTTACATGCTTTAGTGGGTTGGGGTTACAAGCAAGCTAGCGGATTCCCGCTCATTTCCTTTGACCTTAGTCTCTGCATACTTTGTTTCACCTTGCGATGGACCGCTGCGGACGCTGCGAGTCACCCTAGACAATCCAGCACCGTGAGCGGGACTGCAGGGTCACGCGACACGCAGAAAACTCTGGATTGGTTTCGATGGCTTTCGTGCTGTCTGTTGAGGTTTATCTTAAGGTGAAGTAGACAATCGTCACCGCTCTTGGTGTGACCGAACTGACTAGACCTGCAGAAAGATCGTCCCGCGCCAGACGAGGCGCGACCGTTGCTGTGAGGGCAACTGAGAAGGAGAGCTGGGTGCTAGCTGCCACTGAGGTTTTGGCTTCCGCGCGTCTCGGCTGTCCGGTCTGCATTCGTGCTCCTTGTCCTGGACCCTATTTGAGGCAGTGGGAAGACAGTTGGACGGTGTTGTTGAGGAAACACGGGGAATGTCAATTCAAACGGTGCGGTATTACCCCGTTAATTGTATCTTGATGTGAAGAGCTTTGTCAACGCTGACTCCCGACCCGTCGCCACAACGCGAACAACCGACACCGAGGTAGAAGGATGAATCGGTTGGTACCGTCTGCTGCCTGAACCCGCCACTCGATCAGCGCGAAGAGGAACATCGCAATTGGGACGAGAAGACAAGATAAATACAGATCGAGTCATGGCATCGTAGAAGACATTTTTCTACATTAGTCGCCAAGAAAATAAACAAGCTGCAAGCTGAAAGTTGAGCAACGAAACTATACATGGTGCAGTCGGCGTATATCATTGTACTTTATTCGCCATCTGAAGAGGAAACACGAGAATGAGTATGCGAAGGGTGGAAAAGGGCAGACGAATCAGCCAAAAATTGAATTGAATATGATAAGAAATATCTAGATTCGTAAAGCAAGCGTGAACTTATGCGCTTTAAAACAGGTTTCGTGACATGGTCTATACGGTCCCTCGTGCTGCGCCGCAGAGGTTGCATTTTTCAGAGGATGTGTTCTTGCCACTGCGCATGGAGTCGCTTCCAGCAGTGTTGCTGTATTTGAAGAATACAGTAATATAGCTTATTCCCGCGCCATGTATGAACTGGATATTTTTATGGTCCTATCAAACAAACACGCTGGCCGCGTATGTCTTAAAAATCAAATGCAAAAAAGTTAAAAAAAGAAAAGAAAATGAGTGGATTTAAGTTTTGCTGTTTGTTGCGAGCCACGTGGTCGCGAGACCGATGTCTTAAACAAGCATCGACATATCAAGGGGCTTTCTCGATGTTTGCAGTACATTGTAAATAAACACTTTCTGCCACCAGCGGTCCGCTTAGTAAAAATCAGTGCTTTTTTAAGGAATTTAGCTTTTTTTTTTTCCAATTGTCTTTGCGTTTGATAATGTCAGCTTTATGCTGCTTATGCCGGCAACAAAATGTAGCTGTCAAGTGCCAATTTTTTACGTTTAGGAATTAAAGGAATGGAATGGAACGATTCAGCCATTCCAGGAGTGGGAATGGGCTCAGTGTCCTTATTCCTAGGAATTGAAAGGAATGGAATTATCGAAAACTCTAATAATGGGGGTGCCCATTCCGCAACACTGCAGCATAGACACTAATAATGTTTAAAGCGTTTGGTTGTTTTGGTTAACGTTTAATATATCATTTCTCGCCATTTTTAGTGGGACTTTTCTGATGACGTTTGGGATGACATCTGTGTTTGGTAGATAGCGAAAGCGGCGCAATTCATCCTCTCTTACCCTCCTGAGTACAAAACACAATGGAAATAAACCGAACAGGAAACAAAGTTAATACATGATTTGCTCTCCTTTCTTTTCCTTTGCTTTTTAAGATGCCAAATGTTGAAGCGACGTTCTTTTGTACACGAGCGCTCTTCAAAGTGCGGGACATCAGGTTTCTCTAACGCAGCAAGAAAGGGGGGAGCTGGAAGTGGTTACTTATTTATGAAATGGTCTATTGAAATGTGAAGGCTAAGTCAAGTTTTCCAAACTTTAGTTCTGAAAATCAAATTTGACTGTTGGATAAACATCGTGAAAACAATTAATATAAAATAGATGACGAACACGAAATTAAGTAATTTTAGGCAATTTACTTTCGACTTTTTTCGTCGCACTCATTTTTCATTGCCCGCCCCGATCAATAACATTGTCGCTGTGAAAAGGTTCGTGCGGAAGAGCATTTTATATTCACATGAAACACGAGACAAGGGCTGTCCCCCCCCCCCCCCACACACACACACAAACACACACAAAAAAAAGAAAGAAAATTAGTAATCAAGTTTGAAAGATAAAAGAAATAGAAAAATACAGTACCTAATCGGTCTTTCAATGACACACAATGTCAAAATATGTAAATACATCGTGTACCCCCCCCCCCCCCCAAAAAAAAAAAGTATTTTAACCAAAAAATTTAACTATGCATTGCCGAACGTTTATTCTCCGCCCAAATACAGCGATAGTGGTACGAACCACATGCTATGGTTTCAAAACTACCGGTCATCTCATTCAAAAGTTATAAGCGATTTCTTTTTGTAGATTTTAATAGGAAAGCGGGTCGGCCATTTTCCCATTGAAAAGTTAACAAAATTATTTTAACTTATTTCAGTTCATTTATTTACATTGAGGACCCGTTTCCGGGTATTACGCAAGGGAAGATAAAAGACACTGTTTAAACACAAAAATAAACACAGGAAAAGAAAAAGAAAAATATGGTACAAATGTTAAATGGCGATGACAACACGTTAACGAATCACTATACAATTTTACAACTCGTTCATTGAACTCAAGAAAACACTGAGAAGTTCGCAAAACTTAGAGGTGTCAATTTCCATTAATATGTCATTGGCTATTGAATCCCAAT